AGGCTACAGGGTTTGATCTCTGGTTAGGGTATGTATGGGAGGCAACCTATCAGTGTTTCTCTCTCTCTCCCTTCCTCTCTTTCTCAAATCAATAAAATATATCATCGGGTGAGGGTAAAAAATATACATATTTGAAATGGTAGCAGAACAGCAGTCAATTTTGGCAATCCAAAAAGAGAAAGAAGGAGTGACATGATTAGCATGGGCTAGCTTAAGTCTAATACCGTTGGATCCTCACATTTCCCCCGGGTAAAGTACAAGAGCACTTAGAACAACGAAGAGATTTCAGCAAGAGTTCTCACTCTGCCCTGGTCAATGAGGCAAGCACCTTTAATAGTTGCTCATAAATCCACAGTGGCATTTATAAATGTCAGAATGTACTTGTAGATAAAACGCAATTGGTTAAGCCAGAAGCTTCCCTAACAGCAACTGACTGAAGAGCAGTGGTCCCCCCCCCCCCGCCCGCCCCCCCCCCCCCAGCCTGTGTTCCTCCCCTGTCTCCCCAGCAGCAGCCTAAGCCACACCAGGGAACTTGTTAGCCATGCAAATGCTCCTGTTTCCTACCTGGCAATCCGGTTGCCCAAACCCTCCAGGTGGTTGTGATTTGAGGGCACTGCTGTGGAAGATGCTACAGAGGTTGTGCTTGTGAAACCCAGCACACAATGCCCAACTCAGCGTGTCAGGCTATTCCCTTTTTTGGTTGACCCAACCTCCACTTCCCATTGCCCATCCCTTTCGTGGGCAGCCCAAAGAGTAGGACCCTGTTCAAAAGGCTCTCAGAGATAGGGCTAATGGAAAAAGTCACCTAGTTTTTGTATGTTACCATAGCAACACAACGGCACGAAGTATCATTTATTCGTACAAGAAAGGTTCCCTTCGCAGGGGATGTGGCGTATTACAGAAAAATTCTGAGGAAACCAAATTTTGGAAAAGCAAATATGGGAAACTCAGCTTCTAAGGCTCCAGGTACACCTTTACAGCCATGTTCTCAGTGAACTTTCCCTAATTATGGCTGCCCAGGAAGGAAAACCTGTGTTCTGGGCCAACCCCCACTGTCTACACTGAAAGACAAAATTTCCATGCAATGGAGAAACATCTTACTTCATGCCTCCTACTGGCCTCAGTCCCAAACCCACAGGGAAGCTGACCTGTTTCATCTCTACACATCCTTAGTGACACTTGGCGTCCTAGGATGTCCTTCTTTAGGTCTACATCCAGTCCTCCTTCTGGGAGCTGCCAGAAAAATAATAATGTTTATTTCTAGATTACAAAACCTACTTCTGTATCACAATATCACTTTGATTTGTGTATAACCCTTTCTTTGTATAGTTTATAAAGAGCTTCCACGTTTCCATCTCATTTGATTCTCATAATAACCTGTGAGGTGGGCAGTTTTATTTCCACTTTACAGTTGAGAAAACTGGAACTTAGTGCTGAAATCAGTAAACACCTGACCATGAAATGTGATGGAGGAAATACAAATATTTTGCATCAAAAATTAAAGAATTCACAATGTGCAAAAGAACTCCCAAACTTGCGTGAATTTGTCATCTGCCAAATGATATTCACAAAAATCATTAGGCAGGTTTTTAAGTTGGGTGGTATTTTTCTGGCTTAAGAAGGATGGGGAGCAGGGAGATGAGATGAGTAAGACAGACACTCTCCCAGTTATGGAATCCACATAACCTGCAATGAAATTCTATGGGGTTCACTTAATAGCAAGGATAACTTGATGGTGCTAAGATTAATTAAGATCTTATACATGCCAGGCACTATTCTATGTTCATTACATACATCCAACAACCCTATTAATATCACCATTTCAGAGATGGGAAAAGCAAGGCACAGAGAAGCTAAGTAACTTGCCCAAGATTACACATCTTGCTCCCTGGACGCAAAGGAGGATGTGGGACTGGAGATGCCAAGCCTCTGTGAGGTTTGCTCTGCCAGCGATGGAAACCTGACATGGGAGGGCAGCCACCACAGGAATCTGGATTACTTTTCCAGGGTTGCCATTAATCATCAGTCTCCACACTCTCTGCCAGAACATCAATCAGTGCTCAGGTTCTAAGTAATCAGGAGTATTAACTGATTCTTTCTCAGAGTGTCCCCATGAAAATGGGGAGGAGAGGAGAGATACTGGTTTTCTAGATCTGGGTGAGCAGTGGCACACTGCCTGATTTGCCTGGGACTGCCTTCAACGACATGAAGAAAATCAGAGAGAAAAGAAACTCTGGAGGAAACGGACAAATGAAAGATGCATGTGGCCCTGATGAGTACAGTGGGGCCTTGACTTACGAGTTTAATTCGGTAAGCTCCTAACGAGCTCGTTAAGGAGCTCCTTAAGTCAAATTACTCTATCAACTCAATGCAAAAAATCAGCCGAGAGACAGCTGGTATCTCAAAAAACTCCTTAGTCGGAGACTCGTAAGTCAAGGCCCCACTGTATTTAGTAATCTAGAAAGTGAGATGGAAGGCAGAAGTCCTAGTAAATACTTTTATTCATTCGTTCATTTATTTATTTATTTAATCGATTGGTTGCCTCCCACATACGAGGGTTGGACCTGCAACCCAGGTATGTGCCCTTGACAGGAATCGAACCTGAGACCCTTTGGTCTGTGGGATTTTTTTTGTTTTGTTTTGTTTTGTTTAAGAAATAGAAATAAAAAGGAATCCTCACTGGTATAAATTACTCCTGCCTTCTTTTTCCTTGACTTCCCCCCCCCCCAACTTGTCACATTTTGGAATTGTATGAGTCAGCTTTTACATATTAATCAATCTTTTAGGTTTATACATCATTTCCTTTTTCTTTTTTAAAATATATTTTATTGATTTTTTACAGAGAGGAAGGGAAGAGGGATAGAGAGTTAGAAACATTAATGAGAAAGAAACATTGATGAGCTGCTTCCTGCATACTCCCCACTGGGGATGTGCCCCCAACCAAGGTACATGCCCTTGACCGGAATCGAACCTGGGACCTTTCAGTCCGCAGGCTGATGCTCTATCCACTGAGCCAAACCGGTTAGGGCACATCGTTTTCTTTTTTAAAAAATTTTTTATTGTTGAAAGTATTACAAATGTCCCAATTCCCCCCCCCCATTGACCCCTTCTAGTCATACATCTTTTTCTGAAAGAAGGAAACAAAGATCAAGTTGAACTCACTTTCCACTAGATTACCAAATACTCATCAGTGCAAAAGAGAAAGATTAGATGAATGAATGCAGTCTTCATGGGCAATTATACTGTGATGCAGTGGGGGAGACAACTTTCAAAAAGGGTCCTCACATTTGTTTCCCTTTATCATGTCCTGCCCCTAATTGTCACTAAAGAACTTAAGCCCACCTTGAGATCCTAGGAATTCAACAACATTTCACAGCAAGTTCCAGAGTATTTCCCATAATCTCTCCTCAAGGCCAAGTCCCAAACCTGGGAGATGGGCCCACAGAGACCACAGTTAGGTGACTCTTCATAACCACACTCCTTCCACACTCTAATAATTGGGGACCAACGACTTACTCACGGAGGGCCCTGTGAGCTTCACTTTCCTCCTCTATACATGGGGGTGGTAATTCCTTCTTCATTAGGTTGGTGTTAAATTAAATGAGTTGATACATGGCAAGCACTTAGCACAGTGCCTGACTCAGAGTAAACGCTCAAGCTCTTATTGCTACTACTAGAATTTGCGGAGAAAATTACAACAGGGAGCTGCATATAGGAGGCTTCTAGTGTATTGGTAATGTTTTATTGCTTTGAAAACATCTAAAATCAGAACAATAATCAATACAAAAAAATAAACAAAAAGGTCTTAGGAAAAGGGGTGTGTAGGGGGAGTGATCCATAAACATGCCACCTAATGGTGAGTTTCAGGTGAGGACCTCGCTGGGTACATCCGTTCCCCTCTGCGCTTAATTCCCCGGGATAATGGGGTTCCTAACCAGCATGGGCAGGATTACAGAGGGGTCCGCGAACCCCCTGAAACTGTACCCGGAACTGGGTAAGGCTGCAGCTCAGGGCATTTGAGGGGAGGAGTTCCATAGCTTCTCTCAGACTCAGATATAGCGAGCAACTTGCTTTACAGGGTTAAACTCGGGATATTCACGGAACAATTCATTTCACAGAAGCTGCGGCAATAACCAGGACACCTGGGCTGCTGATCTGCTATCTCCACACGGGACAGACCCGGCTCCCGGGAGCCCGGAGCCCGCCAGGCGGTGCGCGGCGCAGCACCCTCATCACTTACAGACCGACCTGTGAACGCACCCGCTCCGCAGACCTGACCCGGGTTTGTGGGTTTAACTTTCCTTCCCTTCCCCCATCCCTTGTTCCCTTCCGAGAACAAACTCAAAGGAAATAGACAACTCTCAGGGTTTCACTCCTGCCTTGGCTGACTCTTAAACCACGTCTCCCAGGGAAGTTAATTAAAAAAACAATTAATCCGCACAAAAATCCAAAATCTACTCCAAGGCTCAAGAGCTCTGTAAGTCAGAAGAGCGAAGGCACCTCTCGGGACCGTGAACATCTGCTCGGGCTCAGGGATGGGAAGGGGTCCCAAAGGGAGCGGGCAAGGTAGGCGGGAGGGTCGGGGCTCGCCACCCTCTGGGAGTCTGCACACTCCGACGCGCAGGGTGAAGAAGGGCTTGGAGGCAGCCAGGCAAGCAGGGAGGTGAGGGCAAGTGTACGAACACGCAGCGGCGGATGGAAGTCCCAGCCCGAGCACACTGCGCTTCCCTTCCCGGGCCGGTGTTCTCGCGCACAGTCCAGGTGGCCACTTCGCGGGGAAAGCCTGGGTGTTCGACGGCCCCCCTCTTTGGAACGGGCTCCCCCCCATCCCCAGGAAGCCCGATGGACTCCCCTTCCAATCCTTGAAAAGCACTAACCTGGCTCCACTCTTCTAGGCGGGCAGAGAAAAGCCCTCGGGAAAAAGAAATGCAGGGGACAGGGGAGAGCGGGTGTCGCCGAAGGGACGCAGGGAGGGGGCGCGCGGCCGGCGGCATACGTACCCAGCGCGAGCAGGGCGAGCTGTCCAGCCGAGGTGACCATTTTACGGGCGGCAGCGGCGGGCAGCAGGCGCTCCAGCCTCCTGCCCTACCTGCGGTGCCCGAGTGGCGGAGCGGCGCTGCGGGGCCGGGGAAAAAGGCGCCGGCGAGGCAAGGCCGGCCCCCCGCGCGGGCGGGCGGAGGGAGGACCCAGCGCCTCGGCTACCCGAGTGCCTCGGCTGGCCCGCACTCGCCTGCACGCCTGGGCGGAAATGGGAAGGCGGTTACCGTCACCTCTCTGCCCCTCGGACCGGGCACAGCGGCCCACTCTCCCGCCCCGATGGGGGTGCCCCCCTAAGGGCATAGGAGGTGGAGGTTTGGGGCCGGGGGCGGGGACGTTGCACGCACCGTGCAGGGCGCGGGCGGTGGGGCGGGGCGATCTGGGACTCGGAGCCCCACCGCGGGAGCTTGGCACCCAGGACCAGCAAAAGGCAGGAAGCGCCCGACTTCAGACACCACCCTCAGACGAGTAGTAGCAGCTCAGTGCAGTCCGGCCCCAGCGCCAGGGTCGGTGCCTGCTGCGGAGCCCGAGTGTCCCCAGGCGCAGTGGCAGCTTCTAGGCTCTAGGCGGCGGAGCAGAGCCGCAGGTGGGGGTCACCTGTGCCCACTGCAGCTGCCAGGGACCAGGGAAGAGGCCCTGAAGGAGACTTGACCTGTGAGCTTCGCAGGTCGCCTGCTAAGACTCGGCCTAAGGAAAGTGCTCCCTTAGAAGCCAGCGAAGAAGTTGTGAATCCAGGTTGCTCACCTGTGCCCCCATCCCAGGGAAGAACACTTGATTCTCCGGATGCTTGCCGCTGGAACAGTCACCCCACGTTCACAGGCAGGCGCGTTGTTAAGATCAGTGTGTCTTCGTACATGTTGGCCTGGGGCTAATGACGATGGGCCTCTGTTTATGGGGCACCTGATTAGCTACCACTACCCCCAGCCCACCCCGCTACAGGCGCTGAGGCCAGGTGTGAGGTAGCATGCTGACAAGTGGGCCCTGAGAGAGGCGTGTATGGGTGCAGCTACCTGGGTGGCCCTTTGGGCATGTATGGCCTTGAGCTGGCCCTTGATGCTAGAATTTGGGACAGTGAAGGCGACAAAAGGAAGACATTCTGGGCAGAGAATGGAAGAACCATAGGTTCCTTGGGACCGTTCATAGGTTCCTTGGGGTCGACCATGGGGTCTGTCCATAGGGGACAGTATGCCCCCGACAGGCCATGACCGGTAGTATTCTTGAGATGCCCCGAGCTCCGGGACTAATTCTTTTCTCCTAACCCCTCCAGCCTAGCTGCTCTGGGCAGACCCATTCTCCTTGGTGGGGTGAGGGTGGAGACTAAGGGGAAATCTACTGCTTCCTTGGCCCAAGGATCAGACTCTCAGAGTTGACTTTTGCTAAGATTGTTTCATATGAGCTGAGAGACCTAGTTTCAAAAAGGAAGCATCAGGCCATTGGCCTCAACGTTTGAGCAGGAAACACCGAAGTGGAAAGGGATTTTGGGAGCAGTGTAAATTAACTTTGAGAATCCATTCTGTTCAATACATTTGTCAGAGGATACTTTGCTGTTCTCTCAACCCTTAATGACCTGTCTGAGGGTTTCCTGATAAGTCCTGGGGTACCTATGTCCACACCCATGCATGTCCGGGCACACACACCTTCTTTGGTAAGTGGTTCCTGACTCCCTTGCAGCATCTTTGTCTACCTCCTTCACACTGGTCTTGACCTGTTCTGCCGTCTGTCTGTCTCCTTCCTACACTAACCTGTCTTGGCTACAAGAGGGAAGAAATCAGGAGTTTTTCAGGCTCTTGTGTTCTCCGGGACCCTCACTGGGACTGGAGAGTGGACCTGTCACCTTCTTTCCTGCTGGGACACACACATCAAGTTCACTGTGGCTGAGGGTTGGCTGTCCAAGCCGGTGAGAGTCAGGTTCAGCAGTTCCTCCTTCTCTATCCTCTGCCTACACACAAAGTCAGGGTGGAGGGAAGTAGCAGCAGAATCAAGCCAATGAGCATGTGTCCCTGTCAGGACTGGAAAATCAAGACATAATTTGCCATCTTTTAAATGAAAGAATATCCAAATCAAACTATATTCTAATGCTTGGAAATTATTGATTATCCCCCAGCATTTTCAAGAGTCAGTCCATACCTATAGTTTTATAAACCTTCCAATTTATTCAAGTCAAACAGATAATCAAGGGTTGGGTTTTTTAAAAAGAAAAATCTACAGCATTTGTTGTAAACTGAACTGAAATAATATTTTGAACATTTATTTATAGAATTAGAAGGACACCTAATATCCTAAAATGTTAACACTGCCTTTGGCACCTTGTGTATTTCATTTAATCCTCACAGGGGAAATTCTCCTGAAATTTATGAGATGGATTCCATCTCCCTTTAATATGAAAACAATTGAGACCTAAGAATTTAGTAACTTACCCAGAGTTACAAAGCCAGTGAGTGGCAGAGTCCAATTTTGAAAGCAAAACAAGCTGGTTCAAAGGCCTGTGTGTTGGCTTCTATGCAATGCTGCCTCATTTTAATAAGAATAATAACTGAACTCACTGGGTTGCTGTGAGAACTAACTGCAAGAATTTTTTTGCATGCTTAGCACAGCATTTGCTATCAACAACTACTAGTATAGCTATGCTTTAAAGAAAAACTCCCTTAGTGGCCATACTTTTCCCTTCTCTCAATGTCCTACCATCATCTTTATTTTATCACTTCCATATCAGAACTTCGCTGTTGCATATGCTTATATCTCTCTGCATGCACAAAACACACCTTCCCACAGGGGATAGTTCCCACAGGTAAGTCAGGAGCTAAGCATTTGTTTCTCAGTCTGTGGTGTAACAGTGAGGGAAAAATGACAGGATGTGATTTAGAGCAAGAAACCATTTTTTTCTAAAGGGTGGTGTGAGGCTTTTGTATTTTGCAGTATGGAATACAGTGCTGTCCGAGCTGAGTGAAATTCCACTTGTAGCCCTGAAAGCTATGTGGGACTGAAGAAAGCTACATTCCTTCTGCTATAGGCACTGTAAGCTGTCTTGCTTGGCCACTGAAGGTCCTGTTTCTCTGTGGACATGGAACCTAATGAATAGGATTCTTTTCAAGAAGAATCCGCCGGGGCTGCCTTTGCACACACTTGCTTCAGCTGGCCCTGAAATCACAGTTTCTCCTCCCTGTGCAAACGAGAACCATGTTATGTTCTACTCAGAGGCCAGTAAGATCCCACGGTCAGTTTTCCCTTTCTTTTCTTCTACATACTTATTACAGAGCGTGCATTTAAAGAGTCCCCTTCTCCACTGTAATCAGCCTCCCTCTCCGTCCTGATTCATCTGTAGAAGTGATTGTGGGCAACCAGGACCGGAGTCTTCCCTGAATGATTCAGGCCTGTTCAGATGGGTAATTGCCCAAGACATTAGTGAGTAAATAGCCTACACATTCTTCGGGAGGAAGCCAGCCATGGGCCACAGCACTGAAGGAATTGCAATTCCTGCAGACAAGCCTCATAGGGCAATGACTAGAGTTGGTTTCAGGGGGCTGCGGGACCTTGTGGGGTGGCAGCATCAGACAGGGCGACTCAGAGGGGAAAACAGGAAAGGGTTACTGGCACAGTAGGAGAGCAAAAAGTCAGATGTCATCTGTGTATGAGAAAGAGACTTTATAAAGGACTCTGGGGAACTGTGTTTAGTCAGAGTGAAGAGATTTTAATGTGTTAAGGGATTTAGGAAAAGAAATCGAATCCAAAGTAAGGTACTGTCCAAGTATCAGCTCCCTGTGAAGACTTAGCTATCAGTGTACTCCTTATCTCTAACTGAAAGAAAAACGGGAAACCTTATGCTTGGTCCATTTTTACAGTTTACATCACCGGCATAATGGGTGGGGTAAGAAGCCATAAGAAGCATTTGCTTTGTCCTCAGCTACTGGGGTGATATTCACGTCCATTGTTGTCCAAAGACTGGTATGATCTTCTGTTTAGCATCTTCTGTCTTCCAGATCTCAGGTCTGCCTTGGGAATGCACATTGAAGTTGTGTATTAAGCTTGAATCCTTCCTTCTCAAGGGATATCACAGGATGGCCCTAAAGCCCAATTGAGGTCTGGAAGTTGATGGTTCCATGAGTGGTCCAATCAGCTCCAAGACATCAAGTTACTAGGCTGAGTCTATAAGACTTGGAGTTACCAGATGGCTGCTGCAACTAAAGGTATTATCATCTCATTAATTATCATCTCATTAAACAGCTCGTTAATTGATGACTGGATGTAGTAGAGGTACCCAGAGGATTCAGCATAGCTCCTGTCAAACCATTCATTTTGGAGGAGGAGGAGCTATGCATTCACTTCTGCTCAATGCTGTCTTTGCTGCTGTCCTCCCAGCAGCCTCAACCATACAGCCACACCATTCTGAAGACTGGGAAGATTGCCCACCAGAATTCTCCGGAGTGCTCAGGGGAAAGTCCTAAATCAAATGCCTAGAAATCCCTAGGCAAGTAAAACTAATAATGTTGACGGAAACAGGGTAGTGATGATGGAGTGAAGCAAAGGATAGACAGGAAAAGGAAAATATAAAAAACTGAGGAAGGAGAAATCAAAGAAAGATTGAGAGCTATAAAGGGGGTTTAATAATTTGTTTTTCAGCGATGGGTCAATCTGTCTGATAAACTGAAAAAATTCTTCCCAGGCTCAGAGGAAAAGGAAAAAGAGAGAGAGAGATAAATTATGAGACAGAGAAAGACAAAACCAGGATATCCAAAATATTTTTAATAGTACCCAGAGAAGGAGCATAGAGCTGATAGAGGAGAAAATGTCCTTGTTCCCCAAACAGAAGGGATTAGTGATGAGAGGAGAGGGTTGTACATTTCATAGGTCTATAAGAGGAAGGGTACTTTTTCTAAACTTCCATTCTGTGACATTCAGACCATCACATTAAACTTCCCCTCCTGCCTCTCTTCCACAGTTCCATTGAAACAGCCAAAAATAAAAAATAAATAATGATAGGGAAATCTGTCACTGTTCAAAACAGGAAAAAAAAAAAAAAAGATGCCGCCCACATACCAGACTTTTTAAGGAATTTCTGTACGACTTAATGCAGATGAGACCGGTTTGAGAGTAGGGGTTAGGCAAACTTCAATTTACCTCACAGAAAAAAAAGGTGTCTTGAGGGAAGGACCCCCAACAGATCCAGGTTGGTTGTGACAAGGGCCATAGATTAAAGTTAATGACAAAAAAGTCAGGAAGGGCAAATGCCCATCTTCATGAAGCATCCAGGAAGTGCCCAGGCACTGGGTGCACACAGGGAAGGAT